AATCAGAGATTTGCCTCCTGAACATTGAGTCTCCAAAGTGGAACTTGTGTCTTGAAAATTGTTTCCAGTACACTGGTCTGGTTCTGGTAGCTCCGAACAGCTATTACAAGCATCTCTTTGCTCAACTCTAGCAATATGATCATTTGGATCACAACAAATATGAAAATCTACTTCCTGGTTAGCTACATTCTGAGATTCTGAAGTTTGAAACATATGCTCCTCTACTTTGGATACTTGCAGCTGGTGACTAAAGAGATTATCATCATTCTTCAAGCTAGAAAATTTATTAGATGCATCATTAGCTGTAGATGAATTCAGCTGGTTGATATAATCAGCTGTCCATACATCATCACCTGAAGTAAATTCCTCATTTCCCTCACAGAACTCAGTTCCTTCACCAGGGCCTAGATGGAATTGAGGTGTACTTAGTTGCACATTTTCAGGATCATCTTCTGTGGCCGAGAGAGGGGCTGTCAGAATATGACCATCCACACTCACCAAGACAACTTCTGAGTTCAAACCCTGTGATTCCCCAAACTGCTCACCCTCTAAATTTTCATATCGACCAGACCCATATTCTGATACAACTGAACCCTCCAAAGAAGACTTCCTATCTTCAAATTCATAGTACCTTCGGTTACCATCAGATTCCGCCCTCTGAATCCGATTTCCACCTGAAGAATCAAATTCATCTCGCAACAAACCAACCCCAGAATCTGAAACACTATGTTCAAGTCTACAAACATCAGCATTGCTTTCATTGTTATTATGACCAAAACTATCATCTTCATTAGTAAAAACCCCACTATCAGAATCTTTACAGTCAGAATCTTTTAGGTCACCATCTAGGTCATTTCTTTCGCCAGAATCAACCTCCCTAATAAAATATGCTTCGCCAGAATTATCAAGATACATATGAAAATTAGCTTCAACACCATTGACAGCTATACGAACAATCTTCTCAGCCCCCTTGATAACACCCTGAAATTTACCAAACCGAACATACCAAGGTGTGCTACGGAAAGTCCCATCTTGCTGCTGAACGACAATCACATCAACAGCCCCACCAAAAGGGTGGAAAGGGGTGGCAACAGAGTAAACACCTTGTGTAATCAGACTCCCAACTCTACCCACCACATTCATTTTCCCAGCTACAAATAATGCTCGCGAAGTCCTGGAAAAATAAAAGACTTACTGAAAAAAAAATATTTAATAGGATTTACTTATTAGTATTGTTTCTCAATTTAAAACAAAATGAACTTTTCTTCTAAATTATTTTTCCCTGTTTTACACATTAGATCCTATTTCTCCTGTTTATCTGCTTCCCGTTTAAAACTATACATAAATATGCATCTCAAGGAATAAGAGGTATCACACAAATTAATCTCTTAACAAATAACAAAATTAAATTCAAACAACAGTGCAAGCTAAACTAAAACCCTAGTTATCAATTTGGCTGGTAAGAAAATAATGGGAAAAGAAAAAAAGAAAAGAAAGGAGAAAAGAAACTCATCATCTTTAAGCGACAAGCACATGTCAATCTTCAAATTCGAGTTAGCAACTAAGTATCCCCATATTGTGCATAGAAAATTAAGCAGATGAAGAAGATGCAACCTTGAAAAATTTCTAAACATCGAATAAATTCTTTCTCCCATTTCCAATAAACCAAACGGATCATCCACATTCATTTCCAAAACAAAACGCACAATAGGAAAATCATACACCGCCTAAAAAGGAAACATCATAATGATTTGTTTAGATCATTATATCGGCGGTTAAACTTACAGATTCAAAGTTTCTTTTTTTTTTCCTTTTTTTTTTACCAAAATCCGAGCAAATCCTCGCTCCGAGAAATGGAGAACGGTACCAATCTCACATCCATGACTCGAAAGACAAATTCTCTGTTTCTCTCTTCATCTTCCTCATTGAGGTTCCTCAATATTCTTGAATTTTCTCTTTCTTTTTCTTTTTCTTTTTCTTTTTCTTTTTTTACGTGTGAAATAAAAAAAAAAAAAAAAAAGAAGAAAGAAATTTAAGGTCGTTAAATTTTCTTGGGAGACTTTGAAGTTTGGACTGGTAGAAGGACCTGTTTGGATAACCGAAATAATGAAAACGAGAAAAATCGGAATCAGAAAACCGTCCATGTCGAGTAATAAATAGGTAATCCTGAAGATAAAATGTCCATTTAGTTCTGAATTTTACTCTAAATTACAGGATATGCCATCGGCTTTACGTTGTAAGTAAATTACAGTCAAAGGGTTTTTTTGGTAATTAATATTCCGTTTCCGTGTTGCAACACCGGACCACTAGCTTATCTTGAAGTGAACAAACCTTCATTAATGCTTCATCCTGATATTTTTTTTCTATAAATATAAAATGAAATTTATCGAACTAAAAGAAAAAAAAAATTATAAAATTCCACTTTTTTTTATTTCATCATCTTTCTAAACCAAGTTTTAATTCAATTTTAAATATTTTTATAGATCAAGTTTTATTTCTTCGTCTTATAGAATGAATATAATATTTTATTTAATATACATAGCTTATTGGAAAAAATAATGTCGTTCGTTTAAATATTTAATAATCAATTATAACTTGTTTAAATATTGTAAATCTATTTAGTTTAGAAGGATTTTTTAAAAAAAATTAAATTCAAATTTTAACAAAAATATTAAGTTATTCATATTGATAATTACTTACATAAAAATAATAATATATCAATTATTACCTTTAAATAGTATACGTAATCAACATATCTAAACATTTTTTGTTTTTATTATAAATTAAATTAAATTAAATATAATAATAAAATATTATTAATATTTTTTAAAAAAATAAAAAATTACAAATATTTTGCAACCATTTTCAATCAAAATACATTTGGTACTAAATAATAATTTTTTTGACATTAAATATAGAAGTAGACACTTTTTTAGAGTCGAAATGTGTAAAAAATAATAGTATCAAATACTATTTAAAAAATATAAATTTTAAAAAATATTTTTGTAAAATTAACATTATAATATACTTTTTAACATAATGTGTACCGTAATCTAGTCATAAAATATTCAAAAGCAATGATGCATTATTTTGCAAATAATTATTATAATCCAAAGTAGTTAGGTACTATTGATTAAATTAAATTAATTGGACTAATGAAATAATAATGTATTCCGGAATGATAATTAGCCCTTTTGAAGTCAAATTTTGTAGTAATATAATATAATAAGAACAATATTCTATTGTATTGAAATGATTATTTAATAAATTACTGAATACAAATTATGTTAAAATGATTATTTAATTGGATAAATTTTACCCATTAAAGATACTAATACATAATTAATCATTTAATTGGTCGACTTATCAAATGAACTTTATAATAATGATTATAGAATTTATTTGTGTCACATTATTTCAAAAGATAATATTCATTTTAATTTTTAAATAAAATCTCACATGTATTACTTTTAAAAATTTTATGAATAAATATAGACATTCCTCACCTAATATTTGTATTTAATGCCATTAAAAAGCATAATACTTATAAAAGTGGTTGTACAAAAAGCACTTTTTAATTACTAATATATATAACTAATTTAATTATAGGATTTTAACCATGCTATTTAATTGCAAGAGAGGTGTTTGAGTATTCATTGCTTGGAAAAAAAAAAAACAATTCTACTTTGAAAAAAAGTATTTTAACAACATATATAAAATTTTAGAATAATATTTTTTATATAACTTTACTTAGAGAATCCAACTTGTCAAGTTTTACTCTAACGCTCTAGGTTGAACCAAATTCTCTAATGATGAGATTAATGAGTTATTCTGATCATAACTTTGTAATAATAACTCTATCTAAAGATCTGCACATTGTTCATCA